AAGATGTATAAATGCTAATAAAATTCTTTCAGTGTTCACATATTTCTGAGTAAAAAGTATACAAGTTATAGAATACATGTTTTCTGACTCACATATAATTGTAATTAAAACTTGCAAGCTAAGTTTTCAGAAAAGGGAGGCCTCAGGCTCACCATTTCAGTTCTACTGGTAACACTTGAATCTGATATTGGGATCACAGACGAGAGGCAACAGTTTAATGAGATTTAAATCCCAATAAACCTTGTGCGGGGGTAAAAATTCTTTAATCCCATAAAACCACTAAACACTTCCTACTTCTGCTCAAAAGTGAAAGCAAGGGAGTTCAAATTATTTGATGTAACAATACAATAATTCCAGAAATAAGAACTACACTAGTGTGCTCAACGTACTGTCTACCACACAAGGTGACAAATGCTATTCCCAAGTCTCCTACTGTACTTTTAGTTAGAACTATTGTCACGATAAATGTGAGCTGAAAATCAGCTAATAGGTTTTCTGTTGTGCTATATCACTTGAAAAACACTCATGCCCATTAGAAAGTTTGGCTCCACATAAATCAAAGTAACATCCTAATTGAATATTCTCTCTGACCCTGAGTCCTTGTGCAGCACACATAGCTGGGGTTGTTCCCAGCTACGAGAACAGTAAGTATCAGAGGCCAGAAGCTAAACTGCGGAAACGCCAGGAGTGAATCTGAATGCACAGCAGATATATATATATATGTATATATATATATATATATATATATATTTTTTTTTTTTTTTAATCACAGTGTGTGTTACAGATGTGCATCATTATTTAGTATGCCTGCAATGTGTTTAATAAAGTGCAATGGTGCTCCTAATCAGTACAGGCCATATCAGATTTCACAGTGGGCAGGCATGACTCAGTGTATGAGTTTGGCTTCCGTCCCACAGCATATTTTCCAGACTCACAAATGAACCATCTTAAAATGCTTTGTTTGCTTCAGACGAAGATAATGCCTAAGTGACATAAAGCAGAAAAAGAAGGTCACTTATTGACAAAGAAAACTATTATTACATTTTTTGAGGGGGTTGTTGCTTACACGTTGGAATGCATTTAGGTGTGGCTTGTCAGCTTTCCTATCTTTGTACGTAGATAGTAAACCCCAAAGAAGAAGCCATCGTCGATGCCATATATGCTCAGTCTTAACTGAGCCCCTCAATGACAGAAAACAGTGGTTACATTTGAACATGTAAGTGATAACATCAGCTCATTATTTAAAATATCTTAGCATGCCTTCTCCACGTTTTGATTCGTGCAAACACAGATGATGCAAAAACAAAACAAAAAAAGAGTAGACTACGTGATTCGTAGGGGGAAATTATGTAAGAGGCAAAGGCATTTCCTTAGGTCAGCTCTAGTTACCTTCTCAACAGCCAGTACCTTCTTTGCATCAAGATCACATCATCTTTCAGCTTAAATAGTCCACAGCCACCTAGTGATTCTTTAGAGGGCCGGGCAGCTGTGCACAAGGAGGCCATCCATTAAGAGTTAATGGATTCACTTTCACAAAAGGACCTTAAAGCCACAGTTCTCAGTGCTGTGTCTCGGTGGTAAAAATAGAAACGAGGCAGAATGGACGGATGCTATTTACAGTCCCTCCAAATTTCTGTCACAGAAACTGCGCACCTATATGGGCCTACTTTTCCCAGGGAATGAGGAAATGACTTGAATTCCCTCTGCTTCCTAGATACAGTGATTACATCTCATGCACTTATAATTATTATTGTCCCCACATCACTGTCTGAACTCTGTAATATCACAGGAAAATTTCGGATTGCATAAGAAGCCATGCACCGATTACCCTAAATCTGAACTGTGTGAGAGAAATTAAATGGCTTTTGCATGCAATGTGAGCAAATATTACCTTTGGTATTAACAGTAGTTTATCACTGCACTTACCAAACCTGTGATTTCTACATAAGACAGATGAAACAGACAGCCTAAGTGGCATAGCTCTGCCTCTCACTGACCACTGGATGTTATTGTGTGTGTGAGTGTTTCTGTAGTGTGAACTGGACCTCAGTGAGTGGGCAATAAAACTGGGCAGAGACCAGAGGAAGTGTCTGGAAAGGCATTACTTGAGCTTTGTCAAACAATAGAGGGATTATTGTGTATTTGATTTTGCCTCACAGTATGCACACTCACTTCAGGCACTTCAAAGAAATTAACAATAAAGAAAGACAAGAATTTGAGTAATAATTTTGTTATATAACTATGTTGGTATTTGAGTCTCGTGTCCGCCCCAAGCTAAATAAACATAGGTTGTTTTTGCACTTTTTTTTAAACTATCGAGATTTTTGTTGCAGCACTTAATTTATTTTAGCATTTTTGTTGTTTGTATTATATAAAAATAGTGCAAGCTGTTATTCCCATGTTGATTAGACTAAGCTAACGTTGAAAATGTTCGATCTGAAATACTTGCAAAATTAGCAGCCACAGAGCTGGAATTTTCACAGTGTTCTCAAACAACCATCTAAACACATGTTATATTAATTCTTGCATAGTGGGTGTTCGATTATCCCCCGCAGCAAATCCGAGGTGGACACTAAGCATTAAAATTATGAGTATGCATCATAATTCTCTGCCACAGTTTTCTGTGATAGCAGATTAAGTGTCACTCGTTTGTGAGCACGTGGGTTCTGACATGTGGCTACATCAGATTCGTAAAAGAATCAGTTATGAGATTAAACACTTTGTTTCCAGAAGTATGTCATCTTACTGCTGTCTTCATAATTACGCTTACTAAAGAAATACTTAAACATTAAAAATATAAAGACTCAGAAGATTCCACCTTGATTTCATGAATGGCTGCTGATATGTGAGACCCTCTGGGTGATGTGATTCAACAGAATTTGGAGTCAGGACATGCTGCATCAGAGGACGACAGCCTGGAACACCCAACAGCATGTTGCTGACATTTGTTTAAACCAAGCCATGCTAGTTTTATTATGATTAACAAACACTGATTTTTTCAAAAAACTGCCAAATAAGTATCCTTTCATCTCTTCGTAAATGATACTTATCAGCCAAATACTTTTATTTATTTTGTTCTACTGTGGCTATCTGGTAGGAGATCTGATGTTTAAAAAAATGGGACTGTTATTTGTTTTACTATAGAATTTCCCACAGACAGAATTATTTCCACAAGAAATGATCATTTATGCTGGCATGGCAAAAAAAAAAAAAAGAAGTGGAACAACACAGAACAGTTTCAGTCAAGCAGAAGCTCAGTCACATCTTTGACACTGAAGGGCCTGGTATTTGCAGTGTTTACAAGACACATCAGGTGAATCCTTTGCCTGTGTTTGCTGCTGACAATGTCACTTGATCAGCATCCAGAGCATGTTAGTCTTGCCTGACATACTCTTACTACCAATTCCCCCTTTGACTAAACAAACTTAAAACTGAAAGCCATAGGTTACTACCTCATGTGGGTAGTGAAGGTAAACTGCAAATCTTAGACCTTAGTAAAAAAAAAAAAATAAAAAATAAAAACTTACTAGTGTTCCACAGCATAATCTGCGACAGTAAATTATTCCTACAAACACGCCAACAAAACTCAATACAGAAATAAATAACATTGTAAAAACGTCAACACAGTCGTATTTGTATTTGCTAACGTGGGCAGTAAGTAAATTATATATGTTACTGTCTAATTGCAGTCTTGGTGTGAAACTATGGCTTTAACGCGGTCTGAAAATCCTCTTTAGAAACAATTCCCTCCGCGTCCTCACACAAGCCAAGTCACTTTCCCTCAATGCGATGGTAACAGTAATGTCATGGTCACAGCTGTTTGCTTACCGTTTTGAGCAGAGATGAAAGGCAGCATCAAGTTCCCCAAAAGGACCACAGCCAGCATCACTGCGTTACGATGCATCGTTGGGGCTCGATCAGAGTACCGGGGTCTTGATCGGACGAATGTGGGAGGAGAGATCGTGCAGGCTAGTGATCACAAGATCTAGAGAGACGGGCCCAGCATTGCACCGGGTTCTTTAAAAATAGCCAGCCGAGGACGGTTTCAATTTGGTGTAGAAATGTCTCCCTGATTCTGAGAGCTTTTGAGAGCAGCGATGAGTGAAAGGTCCGGAACGAGGCCGGCGGCTCAGGGATGTTCGGCCATAAACGGCGAAGAAGCCTCGTAGGATTGCGTGGGAGAGGTCTTTGGATGTCAGGGAGATTGTCCACAGTGTGGTTCTGAAGATTCAAAGATGCGCAGACCGATGCGCATTTGTGCTCTCGCGGTCACGGCTCGGTGATTAAAATGAAAGTAGCGCACAAAAGATTCCCGACGGCAAATGATGCAGTCGAAACATAAGTCTGTTATCAGCACCGGTCTATTTTTAATACCAAAAGAGGAACAGATGCTGGTAGGACACCGACGGCAGCAACGACAGGCTGCGCGTGCCCAGTGCGCTTATGACCGTGAAGGAATACACAAAATCACACCCTATGTAGCTAATTGATGGTGTTGGCAACTCAGACAGTAATTATGTACCTCTTTAGCCATTACAGTTTATTATTATTATTATTATTTCTATGAGATGACAGGTGCTCATGTTCATAGTGTCTCATTAGAAATGGATATTTGTCCCTCTCAGAGTTATTTCTATAACTGTTTTACAGTCTGAATCTAAATAATTCCCTAACTCCGTTCCACAACTCTTGCGAAATTAACGTCTCCTATAAAGTGGCAGGTCAGTAGTCAAGTGCTTGCCATAACACGAGTTTGAATAATTGATTTTTTTTAATAAATAAGTTGAGGTGTATATGAAGATCAGCTGAAAGCAATTTAGTTTTCATCAGTGGTGTTTTTCCTGACCTTTATTCATTGCGCCTAAATACTGTCAGGTTTTAACGTGAGGAGATTATGGTGATGCTCTTGAGCCCACTGAGGTCATTTATAAATTATGTCATCACATCCCTAGCCTGGGTGCTCTGGAGCTGTATGTACCACATCCCCTTGAAAGTTCAACATGGCCTCCTGTAATCCTCTTCTATCCTTAATCTGCGCCGTCCCGCTGCATGGGCGACCTCCCGTGGTCAGTAGAGGTAAAGAGAAAAGTGTCAACTTGCATCCATTTTTGTAATTCCAAACACTTGTAGCAAATGGGGGAAACACTTGAGGACTTCAAGCACTAACAACTGTAGCTATGTGTGGTAAATTATGTGTCCTCTATTTAGCTGAATATGATTTTCATTTTGAAATCCCTTCCCTTTTGTTTTGTTGCAGTGTGAATTGGGGATTGCAAATTGATTCTTCAATGTAAAAGCCTGCCCTTGGATATATGGCTACCCCTTCATGGGTGTTTTGTTGGAAAATGCCAATCTTTGCTCAATTGCAGAACAAACTTCCCTCCACTTTACAGCCCTCCCTCCAGTTTGTCCATGGAAGACCACATTTAAAAAGTAACCCCACCTGAAACTTCACAAAGCCCAATCAGCTATAGAAATGTCAGAGCAGACGGCACACCCTCTTTTGTTCAAAACCAATCAGAGTGGAAGTGTGGCATTTTGCCTGAGGGGAAAACTTACCCCTGGATACGTTAATTACGCATCACTTAGCTGTTGCCAATGTGTTCACAACGGAGGATCCTCTTTTGGGTTTTTTACAACGACTGTCTTCATTCTTTGGTCAATCTAGTATGGAAAGTAGACAACAATGGCTTACCAGGCTGAAAAATGAACTTAGTAACAGTCCTCTGGTATCAAATGTGGCTTTTGGCTTTATCCTCATGGGACTAGAGAAGCTGGTGGAGCTGGAGTTTGAGTGTCCTTGCAGTCCTAAATGGAACGGATTGTTTTCATCAGCATTCTTCATCATTCCTGCCGTCATGGCCTTCACTTTGATGCTGATCATTCAAGGATGCAGATGTGATATGTGGTGCAGGAAAACTGTGTCCCTCTCCAGTTTTGTTCCCGCTATCGTGTGGCTGATTTTATTGTTCCTCGATGGCCAATACTTTGCTTGTGCTATGACAGACTGGGAGGGTAGATTTGTACTAGTTGACAAGGCAGCTCCACAGAAATGGTGTGAGCCAATTAGAGAGGGAGATGTCACCACACAAGAACTAATGCTCCGCTCACAACAGCTGTTTGTGTTTTCTCAGGTGAGTAGATTACTTTTTTGTTAATAAACCACTGCGTATGATGAACACAATGAGAGCAGTTATCTCTGAGTATGCACTCTATAGATCATATTCATTGCTGTTACATCTGTGAACATTCTGTTAATAGACAATATTGACCAACATGATGCCTTTTATGTTGATATTTACTAAACAAAGTGGTGCTCCTCTGTACCCTAGGTTATAGGCATAGTCCTCCTCATTTTCATCTGTATGGGTCTCATAGTGTATGTAATCAGAGAAAGCTGCCAACAAGATGTGGAGATGCAGGATGCAAATGTAGCTGAGCTCACTGTGCTCAGGATGAGCTCTCTAAGGACCCGGACATCTTGAGGGGACACACACCGCCCACCACACCTGCCCTGCTGGCACGGATACTTGTAAATAATTGGAACAGACATTTACTATACGTTTTTGTAACTGCTGTACCATTTGAGTATTTTCCTCATGGAAGCGGGATATACAGTGCCTTTTGAATAGCCACTGATGCTGCCAAATGAAGCCTCATAAATATGCATATAATATCAATATTAGTGAAATCTCTTATTGTCCTGTAATGTATTGTGTGTGTGTGTGTGTGTGTGTGTGTGTGGGTGGGGGGTGTTTGTTTTTTACCTAAACTTTGTGGTGTGTTTTGAGAAATATGGTTTTCTTTTCGTGTCTTGTCTGCAAAAGCTACATAAAGTAATGGATTAGTACATCGATCGCCAATTCAGCTGATTCATCGGTTTTATTAGACTACTTGATGACAAGGCAGGAGCCAGCAGGAAGAGAAACTGTTAAGCACCATTACTTTCAATAAAACGTCTCTTTGTTTTTTGAATTTTTGTCCTTAGCTAGCTAGTTCTTAACCCCAGTCTTATTTTACTGCACACGTATGTGCATTTAATTTTTAGCGTGTTTGTTTTTGCCCTTAAAAGTGATATTTCACTTTGTCATGTAATCAAGTTTTTAAATTTTTTTTGTTTGTTTGTGTTTTTATCTTAACACAAGTGAAATCCACCAGGCAGCTAATATTGATCCGACTAACATTAGTTGACTTGTACTATTGTTTTTTTTTAATGTGTGATTGCTAAAAGAAGAATGTGAAAATTTCACTTCTCTAAACTGAAACTTCACTTCTTGTTTTCCCTCCTGTAGCAAAAGATGTTAGACCCCCGTTATGTTTACTTTTTGGTAACAGTAAAAATTCTGACTTAAGTGAAATTCTTAATGTTTCACCTGTTTCCCATTGACATACTTTCTATAACAATACTTCCTGTATGTTTTTTAATCTTTTTGTAATAAAAAATTTATTTATTGAAGTAAAATACTCTGTATGGTCATTTGTCATAGCCCTTACAAACCTGCGGTCTTGAGAATTTGAGTTGTCTTTCAGTTTGATTGGCTCTTGAAGACAAAACGTAGAATCTCTCGAGCTTGCATTACACAAATTATGTAGCGCTAGATAAAATATATTATTTGAATTAAAAAATGCTGTTGTAAAATTACTCTTTAGGACTTTAGTCAAATTTAATGAATAATTAAGCAATTGGAAAATTGATATCCTAAAGACTGGTGCACCTCTGCAGCCTGAAGATCTTTACCAGGTCTCACAAAGCTGATGGTAATAGCAGTAGTTTAGCTCTGAATTGTATTTTCTTTCGCTTTAAAATGTTCCCCAAGTGGCAGTTAAACCTATTAAGTGTTGAAAATGTAGCATGTTCATCCTGAGGGATGGCTTATTCAAAACTTCCTGTTTGGCCCTGAGGACGTTGTTGCCTTTAACTAATCCACTCCCCTCACTCTTAGACACAGCAGGATGTCATATTCATTGGCCAACTAATGTAGTCAGACAACTAAGAATCTCAAACTACTTCATTTCTTTCTGTCTTATTTTTGTTGAAACGAGTGGTAAATTTGCCTTACACAGGATGAATGGTTTGTAACTTCTAGTAATCTCAGTGATAAAATGGCAAATGGTGTAGCTGTTTGTTACGAAACCTCACCTACAAGAGCAGTGCCGTGATGCACTGGTTAGTACTGCAAGAACTTTTCTGGTTCACTGGGGCCTTTCTGTGCATAGTTTGCATGTTCTCCTCTGAGCCTGTGTGGGCTCCCTCTGGGTGCAGCTTCCTCCCATGATCCAAAGTCATGCTTGTTAGGTTAATTGGTGATTAAATTGGCTAGAGATGTGATTGTAAGGTTGTTTGTCTCTAAGCGCTTACCCTATGATGGGCTGGTGACTTGTCAAGGGTGTACCGTGCCTTCGCAATATGTAAGCTAGGATAGGCTCCAACATCCCTTCAACTTGAAGTGATGATTTTCTTAACATGCATCCATGTTCAGAAAATGGATGCATGCATGTTTTTCCAGATATTCCCTTTAGTAATAGTTGTAGTGTGCATAGGATTCCAGACCACAGCAGGGAAAAACACTGCAATTAAGAAAACCTTTCAAAGATAGCTGAACAGAGTGAAGTCACATGGAGTCACTAAACTTGTAAAGTCAGATGATTAGAAGAAAATGAGAGCAGATTCTCCACAGCACAGAAATTAATGAACAGTACAAATATGCTTTGGTCACACTTTTATTTAATTCTATAGTGACAACAACTATTTGTTTGTTTCACTTAAGGGTTAAAGTAAAATCCATATAGACTGTGATTTGACTTTACATACAATAAGATAAGATAAGATAAGATAAAACTTTATTAATCACTCGGGTGGGTTCCTCTGGGAAATTCGGTTTCCAAAAGCACAGCACCGACAGAAGTTACAGAGCGTGAGCAGAATATTATATATATACACACACATATATAAATACAGAGACATATATAAATAAAATATACGAAAGGGATAAATAGAATAAATAGGAATAAAAATAAAAATACAAGTGAATTGCACATTTCAAGTATTGAGGTCTATTGCACCGTTGACTATTAACAAAAAGTATTGCACAAAAAGTATTGCACAGTGAAGTGAAGAGGCACTACAGCTTAGTTGTTCCCCCCTCCTTTGTCCTCCTGTTGCCCCTCCCTCTCCCCTCCAGAGAGGAGTTAAACAGTTTGATGGCGTGTGGGACAAAGGAGTTTTTAAGCCTGTTGGTTCTTGTCTTTGGGAGAAGCAACCTGTCACTGAACAGACTCCTCTGGTTGTTTATGGCCGTGTGCAGAAGATGCCCAGCATTGTCCATAATGTCCAGCAGTTTTTTTAGTGTCCTTTTCTCTGCCACTGTCACCAGAGTATCCAGCTTCATGCCGACCACAGAGCCAGCTTTCCTGATCAGTTTCTCCAGCCTGGATGAGTATACAATACAATACAGTATATCAAAGCCCTATAAATCCTGAAAGACACTGAAATATACTGACAGGATATAATTTAAAGTAGTGTGAAATACACTTAATCAAATATGGTCAGCCTTAACTAAGTTATTTATTTACTAATAAAATGCACAATTTTAAAAGAATTAATTATTTGTATCTTCTTTTTCTTACTTTTTAGACATCTATCATCCCCATCAAATCACAGTACCACAAGACAATACAATATTTCATGATTTACGTGTTTAAAGTTTTACATTAATTGCCATTTTATTTCTTTTTAATCACGTTTACGCTTTGTCCTCAGGAACATAGAGCATAGGCATTTTATTAAGAGAGCAAAGGTGCCCAGAATAACCAGCACGACTGCAGCTAAGAAAAGTATCACATCTATAGAGTGGTAGGAATACCAGGGCAGTTTGTAGGATTCAGTTCTTAAGTGAGCTGCACCTTTGTGTCTAATGACGAACTCTATCCAGAAGAGGGCATTGTCCAGTGGCTTTATTGGCTGATCTCTGTGCAGCCTGGAAAGTCTCTGCATGTTCATCCCGTAGGAGGGATCAGGACTTCCATAATACCTTGAAAGAAAATGTCTTCATTCATAGTAAAAACATCTATGACTTTCCCTGCTCCTCTTTCCTTGATTCTAAATAAATTATCATATTGATCAAAAACCAGAGGAAGTCCTAAAATAGGGACTCCATGATAAATAGCTTCTTGAACACCAGTTGTTCCCCCATGAGCCACAAAACGTTTTACTTTAGGATGCCCTAATAGGTCACTCTGTGGCATCCAGTCCACCAGCAAAGTGTTGTTACCCAGAGTGCCTGGCCTGTCACCATTATACCGCCAAATGACTTTCTGGGGTAATTTTGCAAAAGCTGCAGTGATCGCTTCAGCTAAGTCAGGGGGTAGTTCTCCAATCAAAGTTCCCAGAGACATGAGGATCACACCATGTTCTCCAGAACTCTGCACAAAGTCCTCCAAATGTTGTGGAAGCGGTTTTGCTGGTTTGCACTGGAACCCTCCCATATAGATAACATTAGGCATGGTGGAAACTCAAACACAAAATCCACTCTCATTAGCCACAGGTCAGCTTGAAACATGGATAAGTAGTCTGTGTCTGGACCAAAATATTTTTCAATGAGGTTCTCATAACATGGTAGCAAATACTGGGCAATCTGATATTCTGCGAAACCAAAAATTAGGACATTTAGCAGCCTTTCAAAAAAGCTCATTTTATCAGATAGCTCACTCCCTACTATGGGAACATAAGAGAGAGGAAATGGTGCAATTGAAAAGTGGCCTTCACCCTGACTAGTCCATCTAACATTAAAAACAAGAGGCAACTTGAGGTATTGGGCAAGTATGGCACCTGTTGGTGTGGCAGGATCTGTCAGGACAAGATCATATTCTGCATCCTTTAGTGACTGTATAAGCGCTTTGTTTTCAAGAAGCCCTTCAATCAATTTGCTTTGTTTCTTTTGCACTTCAGAGGTTTTTTTTGCTTGTTCCATTTCCAGTTTAAAGCGTTTCCAGACAGACATCCCTCCCTTCTGGATGTCCAACAATTCCGCAATAAATGCTGTTAAAAAGTCTTCATCAAACCCTGACTCCATATCAAGCGTAATTGAAGTATAGAATGGGGAGAATTTCTTGATGTACCAGCTGTCTGTTGAACGCACAACGGAAACCTGGTGGCCCCTTAATGTAGCTCCTGAATAATGGCATTCATATTTACCCAGTGGCTTCCATCCACTGGAAAAACAAGCACTTTCCCAGCATGAACCAACATTGGGCAGAGCCAGCAGAAACTGATCAGAATGCAGGTCCAGTGCATTTTAATTCTAAAGGTTGGAAAAAAGCTCCTTATAGTCTTCTGTTTTATTAAACAATTACAACAATTAAACAATTGTTATTTTCATTTTATGTCAATAAGTTTTATGACTGTGTGTTTGCTGTAGTATGTGCAGCCTTCTCCAATCAGCTTAATAACAAAAATGTAAAGAATAATAAGCTTTAAAATAAAACTTTGAATGTTTTCAAGTAGCCTGTGAAGTCTATAAAGTAACTTAGGTTTTTGCATATATAAGCTATTAAGTTAAGTAACCTGTGTCCCTGAAGAGAATCCAAACCACAGGAAGAACGTTGTGGTACAATTAACAATTAACTTGAAAATACATATAACTACCAGTCCCAAAAGCTATTACGTTTTTGTAGGTAAAAGTAGGTAAAAATATATTGTTAGCTTTTTAGCAGACTGTGTCATTTCAAATTCAGTTTTGCCAGAGAGACCAACATGCACCAACCATTAGAGTTTTAAACCTAAGCAGAACTTTGGTACTGCAGTATCATGGT